ATGCTGAATTCTCCTTCTAGATATCGTTCGCGAACGAAATGGTAATGGATTGCGATGTGCTTTGAGCGATTGTTTATTCGGTGGTCTTGTACGAGGGATATTGCTGGCTTATTGTCGGTGATCAGCATCCAGGACATTGAAGACTTATACTCGAACGGTGAGGGGACTTCGGTAAGGGAAATCCATGCTTGTTTCGCCCATATCAGGTGGGCGGAGGCGTGCGAGCAGGCCATGTATTCCGCCTCACACGTGGATTTAGCAACGCAAGACTGGCGCTTAGAGGACCATGAGACGACTGAACCGTAGGCTTGGAGGATGTAGCCGCTGATGGACTTGAAGTTATCAGGGTCTGATCCCCACGAGGCGTCGGCATACATCTGGATCTGATGCTTGGTGGATGCGGACATCGTGATGCGGTAGCTAGCGGTGTGTTTGATGTACCGGAGCACTTGGTAGGCGAGTTTGAGGTGGAGTTCCGACGGGTTCGAGTTGAACGTCGCGAGCATGCTGATTGGGAAAGCGAGGTCCGGTCGCGTGCCTGTGACGAGATAGTTCAGGGCCCCGATAAGCTGCTGGTATTCTAGGCGCCGAGGTTCGTCAACTGTTTCCTCGGACCGACTAGGGAAGCAGTTTGGGTCTAGTGGGGTCTTGCGGCCGTTGCAGGATTCCATTCCGAAACGTTGGAGGATGCGGTGCGCATATCCTTCCTGGCTAAGTGTAATGCCTGTGCCTTTGGGGCAGACATCGATCTGGAGGCCCAGGAGGTATTTAACAGGACCAATGTCCTTGGTGCGGAAGCGTTCGGCCACGGTGGATTTGAAGGATTGGATAGCGTCGATTATGCCAATCAGGAGAAGGTCGTCAACGTAGACTGCGATAATAAGGCTGGCGCTGATGAATACGCACGGGTCGGAGGGCAATTGGTTAAACCCCAGGTCCATGAGGTAGGTACGGAGGGTGTCGAACCATTCGCGTCCTGCCTGCTTGAGCCCGTAGATTGCACGAAGGACCTTGAGGATTTTCCCAGAGGTACCGAATCCCGGGGGGCATCTCATAAAGATGACCTCAGCGAGGGCGCTATTAAGGTAGGCTGTGTCGAAGTCTAGTTGGTGGACAGCAATGCCAAGGTGGAGGTTGAGCGCTGCGAGGAGGAGGAGGATCCGTAATGAGTCATATCGAACGACAGGTGCGAAGGTGTCGAAGAAGTCTATACCATAGACTTGGGAGAAGCCCTGGGCTACAAGGCGTGCTTTATATCTAACGATACGTCCCTGGGCATCGCGTTTGAGGTCGAAGACCCACCGTGAGCCGACGATATTTCCGGTGGCTTCGGATATATCTACGACTTCCCACGATTCGTTGTCAGCATGGGACTTGAGTTCGCGCATAATAGCGGCTTCCCATTTAGGCTAATTTGGTAGCTGTCGGGCCTCCTGGATGGTCTTCGGGATCATGTCATCGGGGTGACGCGCGGTAAGTGCGGATGGTTCACTCAAGGAGGCTTCGTACGCATATGCTTCGATAGGGTCATCGGGTATAGTCACCGCGAGTCCTAGGGCACGTTTTGAGGGTTTGACCGTGCGGCCGAAGCGGGTAATGATGGGTCGTTCCGAGGAGTCCTCCGGGCGTGGTTGTGGAGGAGTGTTCGGCGGTGATATCCTGAAGTTTCCCGGTGTAGGTAGTCGTCCCGAGGGTGGTTCTTCAGGGTAAGGCTGTCGTGAAGGTGGCTCACGCGGTGCCTCAGGGTAAAGCTGTCGTGAAGGTGTGTTCTCACGCGGTGCTTCAGGGGTAGTTTGCCATTCCGGGATGTCCGTGTGTGGTGTTTTCTTCCTTAGAGACGGAATTAGTGGCTCCCCTTCAACCGTAGCATCCTGGTGCTCGTGGTTGGTGTCAATTTCGAAGTAGGAAGGTGGGGTGTGTTCCTGAAAGGGGGCGAACTTAACATCCTTCGACTCGACGATCTTGTTACGGTCGGGGATGTAAAGACGGTAGATCTTTGTGGAATGTCCATATCCAACTAGTATGCCTTGTTCAGCACGGTGGTTGAGTTTTGTTCCTGGTTTTCGGGCCTCGACAGGTATATGAACGTAGGCGCCGATCCCAAAGGGCTTGAGGTGTTTCACAGAGGGCTTGCTTTTAAAGAGGGCTTCGAAGGGGGTTATGATGGTCGAGCCGTATGGGGCGATGTTCTTGAGGAAGACTGCGGTATGGATCGCTTCGGCCCAGAGCTTGAGGTTCGCATCTGTGGTGATCATTGTACGTGCCGCAGTAACGACGGTGCGGTTGAAGCGTTCAGGTTTGCCGTTTGCTTCGTGTGCGTACGGGGGTAAGAGGTCGTGGACGATGCCCTCGCCTTGGAACCAGGTCTTGACCCTAGAGTCGATGTATTCGCCACCGTTGTCAGAACTGAACCGTTGGATGCGGGTACCGAATTGTCTGGCCACGTAGGCCGCGAAGTTCTTGATTTCGTGGAAGGCATCGGCCTTTCGCTTAATAAACCGTACCCATGAGAAGCCGGTGAAGTCATCGATGAAGGAGATGAAGTATTGCGCACCACCGAGGGATGGCTGCGACCACTTACCTGAAAGGTCTGAGTGGATGAGCTCGAATGCCTTCGTCGAGCGTGGTCCCGTGGCCTTTGGTTTGGTGTGGGTAGATTTGGACATCATGCATTGAGGGCAGTGGAAAGAGGAGTCCTTTGGAGGGATTAGGTCTGCATCCTTGTATAACCGCGAGGGTTCACCGACGTGGTAGTGTCCAATGGCGTGGTGGAATTCCGTAAAGGAGCTAAAGTTCGCTGATGCATGGTTCGCGATGTCTAGTTGAATCTCCATCAGGCCATTCGTATACCTCGACCATAGCACGGTCTGTTCAGAGGCATTCCTAAGGTAGAGGTCGTCGTTCTTCGCGTAGATGGTGCATCCTTTATGTCTTACGGAAGGCCAGCTGAAGAGTCTGGTAGACTTAAGCTCACTGGAGTAGAGGACGTTGGTCAGTTGACTGATCCTGGTTGACCCGTTAGGGAGGAGGCATCGGATCCGGATAATTCCCTGGCCTTGGACCGGGAGCTTAATACCACCAGCGATCGTGATAGTCCCCTTGCATGGGTGTAGTTCGGAGAAATCATCTCTGATTCCGGACATGTGGCGTGAGGCCCCAGAGTCGAATATCCATGGTACGAGAGACAAGGACTTCGGGGAAGACGGGTACATAGGAGGGGAAATAGCAGCGTGGGCATTAACGGTAGCATAGAAGGCATTAACCTCGGTTCCTGAGCCATCGTCACCATTATCTCTTGATGCGTTAGCTCGTGAGGCATTTCGCCTATATCCTGAGGAGGAATAGTCGTTCCTCTGGCGGTTGTTGGCAGACTGCCCGGCCTGGTAGGCCTTAAGCTTCTCGCAGCTGGTATAGAGGTGGCCGACGAAGGTATAACCATATTTCCGGCACCATGTGCATTCTGCGCCGTTGGGGAGGTTCGTGCGTGGTACCTGAGGCTTGTTGTACGCATCCCTTCCCGCGGTGTAGGCGTTCGAATCTGTCGTATCGATGGAGTGCTTTTCAGAGATATCTAGCATCTTTGGTTCGATGGTTGTAAAGGAGGTAATCCCCTGGGCACTAAGAATGTCGATAAGGCTATCTATTGTATCTAGTAAGGTGGTTAGGAAGAAGGATCCTTTTACCTCATCGGAGTCGAAGATAGGTTTCATTGATTTCGCAACTACGTGAGTCGATGTAGCACAACGTTTAGCCATGCGGACCCATAGGTGGTAGAAATTATCTAGATGGGCCCGGAGGTCGTCACCGTCTTGGTATCGGAGGGTAGTTAGGGCACGGAATAGGTGGATCGACGTATTGCCTGTGTCTCGGTCGAAGCGGCCAGCGAGGTACTTCCAGGCCTGTGGAGACGTATCGCAATTTGTGACAGACATCATAAGGTCCTGGTGAACGGCACTTAGGAGTATGACCATGGCTTTATTATCCTGAGTATCCCATCCCGCTGATTCAGGGGTAGGGGATGATGGCTTGGCAGTCTCTCCGGAGACCACTGACCAGAGCTCTGCGTAGCGGAAGGCGATTTTCCATGCAGACTTCCATTCTGGATAGTTATCCCCTCGAGGGGTAAGCTTTGGTAGTGACGAGGGATCCAGTTTGAATAAGAAGGGTGAAGACATCGTCTCTGAGGTTCAGGGGTCGTTGTGGTAGTAATCAAGATAGGTTGGTATCTTGATGAATCAGTACGCGGTAGGCTAAGATTGGGCTCATAACCTGTAGAAGTATTGATACGTGATTGATTGATCTATCTAGGAGTATGGGAGGCCTCGGAGGAATAGGAGGTAACCACACATGATACTAGCCGTATTGGGATGTCACCTGACTCCCAACCTCTAGAGGATGGTTGATATCCAACAAAGTTATCGTTTAGACCGCATTATCGTTTAGAAGGTTGGCGCTAGATTAAGGATCTAGCGTCCACAATCGTGGATGAGGTAAGCTTCAGCTGACGAACCAGGGGCGCGGATATATAACTGTACTTGGCAAGCTCTGGAGTCAGAACCGGCGACTTAGCAGGACGTGATTACTACCTCAAACCTTGAATACATTTCTCACACGACAGGAGCGACCCGAAGCCGATCCATTTTCGCGAAGCTATTTCTACCAGTAATTACAAATCTTTCATCGCCATGTCGATTTGTGCAGTGAGGGACCGAGCACCGGAGGGGAATCCTTTACTGTTACAATGGCTGACACATGCTGCTACAATGGCTGACATATGCTGACAGCGCTTTAATTCCTCACCCAGCCAATCTGTATCCAATAGTCTTGGTTGCGGCGTAAGAAAAATTGACGTTAGCCCTCGTCATCATAAATTAATCTCAAATAATGTCAGAGTATCACGTCTGCTCTTCTGCCCGATATCTCGTATAAAAAGGTGTATATATATTCGAGCCAGCAATAAATTGCCGATCTGTTTTCATAACGTCCTACTCCATTACAGTTTGCTCTTATCCAGCAATTACATACGCGTTTTATTCTCTCAAATATGGCTACCAGAGGTATCAACGTGCACCCCGAGGGGTACCATCCTACCTCGCTCGCCGAAACAACCTTTGACATCATCATTATTGGGGGCGGACCTGTCGCAAACTTTGCTGAAGGTCGTCTTGCTCAGGCCGGTCTAAGTGTTGCTGTTGTTCAGCACGAACTCTACGGCGGTGAGTGTCATTTCTTTGGATGTGTTCCATCTAAAGCGCTTCTCCGACCCGTGGAAGCCTTTGAAGCCGCGAAAGCGATCGACGGGGCTCGAGAAGCGATTGGCAATAGCAATATTAATGTCGATGCTGTATTCAAGCGACGAGACAAGATTGTTGACTCGTGGGATGATCGCAACTGGATCTCTATTTCGAACGGCACTAGTGGAGCAACACTTGTACGGGGCTTTGCACGGATTGCCGGTATCAAGAAGGTTAGCGTTCAACCACATGGCGAGACGCAGCGATATCTTCTTGATGCAAGATTCGCAGTGATCGTTGCAACAGGGTCTACACACGTTGTGCCTTCAGTCCCAGGCATTGAGACACTAGAAGAAGGAAAGGAACTGTGGATCAATCGCGATGCCGTCGCTGCAAATCACGTCCCCGAGCGTCTTATAATTCTCGGTGCTGGACCCGTGGGGTCCGAAATGGCTACCTTCTACTCAGCGGTCGGCTCCAAAGTCACTCTCGTTTCGCCGACTGCTGAAATTCTTCCCAAGGTTGAGCAAGAGGCGGCAAAGATTGTGCGTAAAAGCCTAGAGTCGCACGGCGTCCAAGTGAAGCTCTCCACTCGCGTCTCCAAGATTGAGAAGCAGAGGACAAATTCGTTCAAGGTTACTCTCTCAGATGGGAACTCGATTCCAGGGTCCGTCCTTTTGAATGCAACAGGACGAAAACCACGGACCTATGACTTCGGACTCGATACCATCGGGTTGACTGGAGAAGGGGAGCCGCTGCAGACGAATAAATCTCTGGCTGTTCCTATGCCTGGCGAAACTGAGCCCTGGCTCTATGCCGTCGGGGATGTCAACGGTCTTAGTCCAACGACTCATATGGGCGTCTATCAGGCCCGTATTGCCAGCAACGCTATTCTGTCCTCTCTGCGTGATAGGAATCTATCTGTCGAGATCAAGACTCCTATTGGAGTAACAGTTACAGAAGCAGTACGCCCTGGGAATACATTTCCACAAGTTATATTCACGGAGCCAAATATAGGCACTGTTGGTCACACCCTTGCTTCGGCTACAACTGCTGGCCTAAAGGTGAGAGTCGCAGACAGCGACTTCTCTATCCCTGGGGCATGGCTATATGGTGATAATCAGCCTGGTTGGGCTCGATGGGTCATTGAAGAGACGAGTAATAGGTTAGTCGGTGCGACATTCTGTTGCATTGAAGGGTCTGAGTTTATCAATGCGAGTCAGGTTGCTGTTGCCCAAGGCTTATCTTTGGCTGACATGGTTCATGTCGTTCCTCCGTTCCCTACACGGGGTGAGATCTGGTCGTACTTGCTGAATGCGGCTGGATTCTAGAATGAACATAGGATAATTTATAGCTCAATCATGAACCCTTTTCATAAGCATTGGCTCTCTGTGGGTTTAGGGTGCGATGTCCTCGTCCCTCAGACATTTTCCCGCCGGTTACCCAGTTTAAATATCTCCAACTAATCATGTTCGCTGGATAGGTGACATAAGATCCACTCGGTGGCTCTACTAGGCGTATATAATCATACGGCCTTGCAAGTAGGTCACAAATCAACTGCCATCCATTAATTTGCCCTCCATGTGATCGGTCAACATGTTTGTAAGTCCTTGGCTGGTATGCAGATGGTGGTGGCGACTGTTTTCGCTCGCTTGGTGGAACAGCACAGAGGATACTTTCGTAGTCATCATTCCATGTGTGCAGCTGCTTCATCGCTCTGTGGCGCTCATCTTGTCCGTGGATTGGCGACTCGAGTGCTAGGAGAGTGAAGGCCAATACCTGACTCACAGCAGTACAGTGACTGAAGGTTTCTGGATGTGCCCGAGTTTCCTGGTTCGGTTCAGCTAGGTGGTAGTAGAGGGCACCTGGGTCGCCCCAGTCAATCTTCAGGAAAACAAACGCTTCTCCAGTCGTAAGGTAACTGTACTCAAGGCCACCCTCAATCATGTAGTTAAAGGTTTGCACTAGAGCAGCTGCGGCTAACCGATCCGAGGTGTATTGAAATAGAGCCTCTACATCCCCTGTGGCTGGCTTCGTAGCCCTGTTCACCACGTCATTGTAGACGTCCATCTCTCGCAAACCAAGGCGAAGGTGTGGCAGGGTGAGCTTGTGAGGCGCTTTGTACTCAACGACAAAAGTCATTCTGCGCCGGTCCGGCTGATATCCGTCGTACTTGTACACACAGATTTGGTCCGCGCGTAATTGATGGAAGTTGGAATAAGTTCGGTCTTGTCGAGGCAACGGCGTTTGACTCATGATCCGCTCTCGAGGCTCTTCGGCAACATCACTTGCGATATTTGGATGATTTTCGAAAACGATGCCGTTCCCGATGCCAAACTCATCATGGCCTTAGACCGCAATCCTTCGATGATCGCTGTAACAGGAGTTTCCAGTATCATATGTTGGACGTGTTCAAGGTCCTTCTCGTTCCCCACCAACCTCCTTCCAATCCTCTCTCCAAGACCGTGCAGAAAATCGAGGCTTTCAAAGTCCCGATCATCTTCGGGGTATATGGAATAGAGCCTACCGAGAATACCTTTCTACTGGTCCAGAAAGTCCGACCAGGGAGACAGACGTGATGGCAGCCATTTATCCCGTGTGTGATGGATCAGAGGTCTATCGACCTGGATGCCTTGTGGCCTTGTGGCCCGTTTGCTCTGTAAACACCAGAACAGATAAACGCCTCGCACACCTTAGATAGATTCCTCCTTCATAGCAACAATTCAATGTTTGCCTCACGATTGGAGATTCCCGACAGTGAGACTCTTACACCGTGGGTCGGTGATCGAGCCTTTTGATGTTAGGCTCTTGTCTGGCTGCACGGCGAATTTCGTAGACAGAAAGTTGTGACAACCGCCAATGTACTCGGTCAGCGTAGTTGTCTGTCGCTGTTGCTCGGCTTCTGCAGCTCTTTGCTGTGCTTCTTCCGCGCGCTGTTGCTCTTCTTCGGCTCGTTGTCGCTCTTCTTCGGCTCGTTGCTGCTCTCGCTGTTGCTGGTGCTCTGCTGCTTCGGCTCTTCGCTGTGCTTCTTCAGCTCGGCGCCGCTCTACCGACAGTTGTCTCAGCAATTCTTCGATATGTTTCTCTTCCATTTGAGTGACCCAATAAATGGGGTAGAACGTGGCACATATGATGCTGCTGTGGAACGCGGGACGTGAGTCTTCAGACGTGGGAGCTGAAAGTGTTTGTTTGGTTGCCAAGCCCCGGCACATAGGCGGGTAACTCGTAGACTATGATTGGACGCCAACCTCTTGGCTGAACACAGAGCCATTTGATGAACGGAGTGCATTCCTATTGGTCACAGAGTGACGGCTGCATTTCTAACTATCCAAATACCGAAAGTGGAATTTAAACTCCCAACATTTCATGTTCGTGATACTATGAAAATCGACTATGCGGTAAGAAACTAGAACTACCGAAAAGTCGAGCCGCTAAACACACCCCGGATCCTGAGGATTCTCGAATTATCGCTGTGGCAAGTTACCTTACCATATATTCACGCTGCACCCCAGACCCCTCGTAATAGATACACAGCCCTTTGGCGACGTTCCCTATTTTCCGCTGGCAGGGAGGGAAATCTGTATCCACTAGAAGTGGTTAGTCTCCCACAGCCACAGGGCCGAACGCGGCCACCCTAATGTGCTGATCATGTGTGTAGGTGAAAGAATGAATTTGGTAGTCAGAAATCAACGTGGATTTGATAAACAATTACTAGCTAGAAATCAATCGTCAAGAAATTCGTCCAAAGGGTTGTTATGGGTTGAAACCCTTGGTTGGCTCAGGCTGAGAGCCTAAGCCTGATTAGGTTAAGGGTAAATCAGAGTCTAACCTCTCCGATGTAAACAAGAAAGCTTCCCTTCCTTGTTCTCTTCTTTAGCTTAATCTAGAATATCTTTGGCTACGTGTATGTTATATGCATCCAGCTACCGTGCCGTAATATAGATTAAGCTAACTCTACTGCCCCTAATAAGCGAAGATGCGCCCACGCCGGTATCATTAACTCCCGCAATCCTTACTCCTCGACCCGAAGTATCCCTCGACGAACTCGCAGAGGACCTCGCGAGTATCTATACTAATATAGCCTCTCCTAACGACGGATCCGACGCTATATAACAACTTGTCGCCGCCCTCACCGCTACAAATCAAGACCGTGGCAGCTCCTCAAAAGCTATACGATGGCCAGAATAGAACGGCAAGACAGCTAGCTACGGCCTCTTTAAATGGACTCTCGAGTCTAAGATTAAGATAGAGAAGGGACGACTCGGGACCAATAAAGCGATATACACGAACATCTTCACCGGCCTACTAGAAAGTAAATAACAACGAGTTATCTACTGGCTACGAGCCGGAGGTAACGACCGAGACTGGTCGCTAACCGACTTCCTGGCGTATATAGACAACAAATTCCTAGATAGAGAAGCGGAAAGGAAGTCACTCGATAAGCTGAACCGACTACGCTAAGGAGAGAGATAATAGTTTGAAGATTTCAGACAATAGTTCGAACAGCTCTCGGCTTAATTAGGCACACTTGCCCCTATAAAAGCTTCTAAAATCTCGACTATAAAAACTGCCCTTAGCCCAGCGTTATCCCGAGTACTAATTACGGCTAAGCTTTTAAACACGGATTACGAATGTAAGGGTCTCACTGTCGGGAATCTCCAATCGTGAGGCAAACATTGAATTGTTGCTATGAAGGAGGAATCTATCTAAGGTGTGCGAGGCGTTTATCTGTTCTGGTGTTTACAGAGCAAACGGGCCACAAGGCCACAAGGCATCCAGGTCTGCGGACCTCTGATCCATCACAACTCCTTTAGGATCGTAGACTCGTGGAAGACGAGTCCTACTAACGGAATTACTAAGCTATCGCTAATAAAGAGAGAGTCTTCCTACCCGAACTGAAGCTCTCCGTATAACTACTAGACTACGAGATCGACTACCGCGGTATAGTTACGAGGAGAGGAATCATATAGGTTCCTAACTGGGAACCCCTACGGACGACGCTGGTCCAGAAAACCCACGATTCTTACGTAACCGGCCATCCAGGAAGGGACAGCACCCTTGCGATCCTCTCGAGGAGTTTCTTCTGGCCCTAGCTGTGACAGTCTTGGGCTTCGCCCAGTCTGTGTGTTGTGGCCTTGCGGCCTAAAGCAGAAGGGATGGGTAGACCGTTTGCCCACAGATGTAAATAGCAGATCGCAGTAAGAGAGATCTTCTCCTTCTCTCTTTAGCAATTCAACAGCGTTACCAGCTTACCAAATCCTTCGTGGTTTGGGCCCATGACAATTTGAATTGCTCATTCCTTTTCTGAAAGACGCTCGCTCATGCTGCCAACTTCGGAAATCGGCCGAAACAAGCTAGAACCTAGAAATAGAAGAACCAGGATCAGAGATCAGTATCGGCATAATGGCTGATGCTATGGATCAAGACCAAGGACCGCCCCAGGGTCCACCGGGTCCACCGACAGGGAATACGAATACGTTCACGAATAAAGAGAAAACGGAAATGGCAGCCATGATGGCCACCATGGCAGAAAAGATACAACAGCTAGAGTTAGCTCTAGGAAAGGCTACAGAGGCCAAGACACCGCAAACAAAAAAAGTCCAAAGCGAAGCTACCGCTCCTAAGGAAGCCGCTAAGCCAGAGACCCCTACTGAGACCCTAGCTAGGGACAGGAATCAGAAACTCCCGAAACCAACGAGATTCGAGGGAGACAAGAAGAAGTACAAAGTTTGGAGAGCAAAGATGCAAAACAAGATTCAAGTGGATGGACATCTTGTCGCTCATGATCACGTAACCGCAATTGCCTATATCTGTGCCTTCCTCGATGGAGAACCCGCGCTGTTTGCTACGCAATGGAGGGACAGGAACACGGCTTCCCAGGATGTAGAGAAATTTGTGGCTTTCCTAGATTCGAGATATCGAGACGAACATGAGGCTGAACGTGCTTATTCTCAATTCGTTCGCCTAAAGTAAGTCAATAAGCCGTTTCCAGAGTTTATGAAAGAACACCAACGACTCTAGACCGAGGCTCAGATGGATTACTAAGATGCTCGAACTAAAATCAACGTTCTCCAAGAAAAGCTGAGCAGTGAGATGCGACAACTTATTCTCCCTGCAACCATCGCGGGTCTTGATTTCAGCAACTATGATAAGTTCGTCGATATACTCTATACGGCCCACTACGCCTCTGAAGCAGCTCACGCTTCAACCTCTCGATGGGTTCCTAGAAACCACGGAGGTACGTCACGATCGCAATACCGACCACCATCTTCAACGCCTACGGTCCCGACCCCACCGCAAGTCCAAGTCTTAGCGCCCGCACCATCCCCGGCTAATCCGGACGCAATGGATTGGACAACGCGTGTCACTTAAACGCAAGCTGCTCAGGCCTTGACGCAGAACCGACCGTCGCGCTCCTTACACCCGAATCCTGACAACCGTCCGAAAGGGCGCCCAATCAATTCCAAAGAATTCCAAGCACGACAAGCCGCAGGAGTCTGTTTCACCTGTGGAAACGCAGGGCATCGCTC